TGAAGTCACATGTCTTTTGTAGTTTAGACATCGCTGAAAGTGATTCAATCTTCACAGGTTAGATTTCTCGACGCCAAAGAGATTTTCCAATCGATAGAAAATGGATCGCGATAAGCTATTTTTCCGACATGTGCTTTTTCACTACTTCGACCTCAAGAAAACCGCAACTGAAGCGCATCGCTTATTATCCGAAATGTATGGCGATGAAACTCCATCGGAACCAACATGTAGAGTTTGGTTTCAACGCTTCCGAAACGATGATTTTGATGCGAGAGACAAAGAACGTCCAGGACAGTCGAAAAAATTTGAAGATGTCGAGCTGCAAGAATTGCTTGATGAGAATCCAGCTCAAACGCTTTTAGAGTTGTCGAAATAGTTAAATGTTACTCCAATGGCCGTCTCAAAACACTTGCATGCCATGGGAAAGATCCATAAGGAAGGGAGATGGCCACATGAGTTGTCAGAAAGTGCCATTTCAAATCGTTTGACTATTGCGACTTCTTTGCTTGCCAGGCAAAGAAAAAAGAGTTTTTTGTGGCGCATCGTGACTGCAGATATGTGGCGACATGTCGGAACAAGAAATTTATTAAAAATTTTGTGTTAAAAACTAATGGCCCAGAATTACTCCAACGCGTTATGACTGGTGACGAAACGTGGATGTATGGCTATGACGTCGAAGCAAAGGCTCAATCATCACAATGGAAGTGTTCTGAGGAGCCGAGACCGAAAAAAGCGCGTCAAGTGAAGTCAAACATGAATAAGGTTCTTCTTACCCTTTTCTTTGACTACAATGGAGTTGTGTACTTTGAATTTCTACCGACAGGTCGCACAGTTAATAAAGAGTATTACTCACAAGTTATGCGCAATTTACGTGAATCTATCTGAAAAAAAAACAACCTGAATTATGGGAAGAAAACTCATGGATTTTATACCATAACAATGCACCAGCACACACCGCATTAATTATCATGCAGTTCTTGGCGAAACACAAAACCACTGTGATGCCACGCCTCCCTATTCTCCAGAAATGGCCCCTTGTGACTTTTTCCTATTCCCTAAACTCAAGAGGACCCCTAAACGACGTTTTTCAACGATAGAGGAAATAAAGAAAAAATCGCTGGCCGAGCTGAAGGCAATACCTAAAGAGGCGTTTCAACAGTGCTTTGCAAGCTGGAAAC